CTTACCTCTTGGAATCCCCCATATTCTGGTCTTTCCTAACTAGCCCCATTCCTGTGGCACACAGGGAGGTCCAAGCTCTGCATAGATCGATAGGAAAGAGTTCTTGAGGGGCTGTGGAGATGGGGGCAGCAGCCTCTTGCACCCTCAGGGCCATCTCTAGGGGCCTTCTGGGCCTCTGTTTGGAGACAGATGTGGGGTACAAAGCCCACCCCTCTCTGATCCCTTTCTTTCTGCTCTGGGAGGGTGTGAGCAGAGCCCCATTCCATGTCCCTCCTTACCCACAGGCTGACAGTAGACACGTCATTCCAGGGGAGATCTCCAGTAGGAAGGAAGCCAGGGGTCTGGGAGTCTCAATTCTGGCAGCAGCATTTTCTCCTCCCCTCACTGAGCATTTGGGCACCCTTAGTGCTACCTCTTAAGACATGGCAGTTGTCCCAGACCTTGTGCCTTCTTCCCCTGACAGCCTTGGAGCTGTATACCTGGATGGCTGACTTTAGGGACCCTGGTGTGCTTCTTGGCCTCTCTTGGGAATCACAGATGGATGCTGTCTAAAGTGTGGAAGCTCAGCTTGGGCCCTATGTTCTCCGTGAGGCCTGAGATGTTAGGGAGAGCCATGGGACCCCAGACTGCATCGCTCCTCATTCCACTGAACCCTTTTAATGCTGTAAAAATCAGGCTTTAGAGTTCTCAGATGATCAGAGCTAACAGAGATCAAGTCCAACTGCTTGATTTCATGAGAGAAACCGAGGCTGGGGTAGGGAAGACTGGCCAAGGCTGCATAGAAAGATAATGCTGGATCTAATACTTTAACCCAACCAGCCTTGAGAATGGATCTGCACATGACCTTGAACTGGGAGTTGGACCTCAGTTGCAATGCTGGACCTGGAATGTTTACTAGGCCACTTCCCAGACACTGAAACTTGAATGTGGACATGAGTTTGTCCTGGATATCAGACCTGGACTTATAACTTCAGACCCTGACCTTGGACTAGTGTTTGGCCTTGGTCCTAATCTGAAGGTGGACATGAACATTGAACCTGGACTCAGATCTGTACCTGGATACTGGCCTGAGTGTTGGCCCTGGACATAGCCTTTGAACTTTGACCTTTGATATGTTAAGCTGGACCTTGGATCTCAACACAGACCAGGAAGCTAAGGGATGTGGTGATTATAGAAGACTCAGGCTATTTGACCTTGGGTACCTCTCCAGACTTCTCTGGGCTCCCTCTGCGAAGAGATTGGGTACTGCATTTGCACCCTGTTCCCCACTGGACTTTCTGAGGCATCAGGTAGGTGTGCAGCAGCTGGGGGTACTGGGCTGGGGTCCCATTCTGGACAGAGCGACTACTTGGCGCCATCAGGGGAAGTGAGAGGAAGCGTGTACTGATATGATGTGGTCAACTAGCTAAGCCCCTGGATAGCAGTGGGAGCGCTGCCTCAGCCTGCTGGGGGAGGCTTAATGCAGCTGCAGAGGGCAGACAACTGCGTTATTGGATTGGCATTGATCCCTCATCTGCTGGGGTCAGATGCACTTTGAGAGGGCATGGGGGTAGGAAAGGGCCGGGGTGCAGAGGGAGGGGCACTGGCTCATGGCTAGAGTTCTGCATTAAATGTGAGGAAAAGAGGATGTTCCAGAAGATGCCCCTGATGGGGGTCCATGGAGACCACTGCCATACAGATGGATGAACAACCACTTCTTTTAGGGTGGCTGAGTCCCAGCTTTGCCTGAGGGGGCCTAGATCTGTAAGGGATGGGCTTGGGGGAGTCAAAGCCATAGCTCTGAGGGGGTCTGGAGGGTGTGACTTGGCATGTCACAAAGACCAAGTCTATTCTCAGAGTGGCTCTGGGGAGAAGAGGGGAGGGCAGGTTCCATAGAGGAGCAGAGTGACAGGGGGAGAAGAAAGGCGTTTTGCTGGAGGGATCAGGGAAATGAGATCTTGTCCCCCTTCCTTTGGGGAGCTCTGCAGAGTCACTTGGAGCTTTCCCATTTGGGGGCATCCTTTCCCTATTTTGAGATTCTGTGGGCTTGGGGCAGCCTGCAGCCTAGACACACACACCTGCTGTGCCTTGTGCTTGGCAGGAGCTGGGGGGTGGTGGGATATGGGAAGAAAGGGGTTTGGAGAGAGGAGGGGCAATCCTCCTGGGTGTGTGTGTGTGTGTGTGTGTGTGTGTGTGTGTGTGTGTAGGAGGAAGAGGAGGAGGAGGAAGGAGAAGAGGAGGAGGAAGAGGAGGAGGAGGAAGAAGAAGAGGAGGAGGAAGGAGAGGAGGAAGAGGAGGAGGGGAGGGATAAGGAGGCCTCTAGAAGTTCTGTAGCATTCCCAGGCCTTCCTTGAGCTGGGGGTGTACCTCTTTAACTTGGGGGCCCTGCATCTGTATCATTTGGGAGCTGTCTCAGAACTCTCCATTTGTAGCCTGAAGCCCCCCCCCCCACTTCGCCCCCAAGCGTCATCCTGACCCTGAGCTGCAGGAAAGGCTTGTAAGAGGATCTTTCTAATAACTGGAACTATCTCCAGCCCCAGGCCCTCCCTCCTCTCCCTCCTGCCTCCTTTCCTTCTCCTCCCTCCCTCTCCCCATCTCCCCCTCCTCTCTTTCTCCTTGTTTACCCAGCACACTTACACATGCTGGGAGAGAAAAAACGTAGGCTCAGCAATTTTTCACACTTCCCTCAACCACTCAGCAAGGTTATTTCCGGCAGAGTGGAGACAACAGGCCACCAGTAGCCTGTGGGCTCTCTGAGGAGCCCCAGGACCCACCCCTGTGGAGTGAAGGAGCCCTCACTGCCTGGACTGGCCACACCCCAGGAAGAAGTGATGCCCCTGGAAACAAGATATGGCAGACCCTGTGTTTCATAGTCATACCCCGGCTAGAGGGGACAGCTGCTTGTGTCCAGCACTGACAGTCCACAGCAGACACTACCAAGGTGGCTAGGCCTGTTCTTACTGCAGGGCAGAGACAAAGCTAAGAGAAATGCCTGCTCTAAAAACTGTGCCACCCTCAGCAAGAGACATGTGTTTAACAGAGCCCCAAGGAAACCCTGACAATGGCTTCCTAACATTCTGCTAGACCCTCATCCAGGTGTCTGCAGGACCTCCGGCACCACACTTGACCTTCACAGAAGCTGAGCCTGTTGAAGTTGGAAGGATGCTTACTTCATGACATCCAAACTCTTTGACTGTTAGGGAGGGTGAAAACTAGAGAAGGAAAGGAACTTTCCAAGGTCACACAGCAGGCAAATTAAACCTGTGCCTGCCAGCTTTCAGGACAGCCCTAGAGTCTTCCCAAGACCAGTGAGTTGGTCTAGAGCCCCTGGAGAAAGGGATAAGGGTGGGGTTTTTCAAGTCTCAGAACTGGTGGAACCTCCACAGACACACTGCTGCCCCCACAGTTCACCCAGGGGCTCCTTTCAAAGCTTTTGAGGAGTGAATTCAAGGCAAGAGTTTCTCTTGCCTCCCTCTTGAAGCACAGCCTGCAGTTTTGGCTGTGCGTGGGGAACTCTGGGCTCTGTGGGTTTCCTCAGCTGGCACAGCACAGGACCAAGGAGCCTCAGGATCTGGAATTCAGAGCTTTGTTGCCTTAAGAAATTCCATATCCAGTCTTGAAAATATTTCATTTTCTACCAGTGCCTAGCCTGGGCATGGCCCTCTGTATTGCCAACTCTTAGCTGGGCCATATCCTTGGGCTTCTGTCTTTCACTCCAGGATGCCCTGGAGTCCAGGACAGAGGATAGCAAAATAAGGGACATATGGGCAGAAGAGAAGGGGGTTGTGTTGGGTAGATGGGAAGGCTGGCGGCTGAGGGTATCCTCAGTCATTCCCGGACTTCTTTGACCTTGATGAGGTCATGGAGCCCTTTGCCTAGCACCTTCCCACTACCTGGCATGGCAGAGTATTGGAATGTGAGTGAAGAGCTTTGAAATCCCTGAAACGGACCCCTGCCCGTCCTTGCCATCTGAGCTCCCCCTCTTCCTTAGCCCTTTCTGTCTCTTTCTCTCTCTCTCTCTCTCTCTCTGTCTTTCTCTCTCTCCTCAAAGCTGGTGCCACACGTGATGTTAGATCTCTCAGTACCAAAGGGACTCCTCCTCTCCAAACACCTGCCTGGCGGGGGCCATCCAAGGAGAACCCTTTTGTAATCCCCTTGCTAGAGGATGAGACCCGCAGAAACACTCTTCTGACCTCCAGAGAACACCCCATGTTGGGGCCTGAATGACGGAGCCTTCTCCTGTCCCCCAACCCTTGTCTCTGCAGGAACTTGCTCTGAGAAGAGAGAGAGTGTGGGGGTGGGGCAAGGAGTGGAGGCGCTTACAAGGGGCATTGAGGTTGGCTCTGGAGTGGGTGAGGAGCTGAGGATGGGAGGAAGTGCGCTGCAGGGGACCGGGAGCCACTTTAGGGGAACCCCTCCCAGAAACCCCCTCTTCCTTGCCATCCCCAGGACAGATCCAGCCCTTGGCAGGCATGTGGCTGAGGGTAACAAAAGAGTTGTTGAGCGAGGGGGTCTGAGAGCACTTGTCTGGGATTCCCAGGAGGAGCAGGTTGGAAGGGAGGGAAGAGGTTTGAAGGGAAGGAAGGTGGCCCCTTTCTCCCCAGAGACTGGCGGCCCAGGTCGCTCTGCCTTCCCCACCAGGCGCGCTCAGGCCGCCGGCCCTGTCCCTCAGCCAGGGAGAGGAAGGCACCTCCAACCGCTGTGCCTCAGTCCCTCAGCACCGGCCTTTCCCGAGCTTCCTTTCTGTGTTCTCTCGGCACCCCTCACCTCAGCCCTGCCCAGGGCCACAACTTTCAAAGTCCGAGCTGGCCAGTGGCTGCGCGATGGGCCGACCCTGCCACTTTCCCTTTGTACGGCTGAGCCCCAGCCCCGCCCGCCGGCCCTCGGGAAGTCCGGGAGGCGCGCGCGGCCAGAGGAGAAATCTCCTCCCGGGGTTCCCTGCCATGCGCGCCCCTCCTCGTGGCTCAAGTTGGGGAGGGCTGGAGCTCCCCTCCCCTTTCCCCCTCGCCGGGTCCACTCACCGTTGTCCCCGGGTGGCCCCCGGACGCCAGGCAGCACGTAAGCGGTCTCCAAGGGGTGGTAGGTGGGCGCCGGCACCCCGCTGCACTGGAAGCCGTCGCCTTTGATCTTCTTTACCAAGAAGGAGCGCGGCATGGTGCGACCGGCGGGGAGCTCCGCGGGGTGCTTGCGCAGAGCCGGGCTGCGGGGAGGCGACCCGCGGGGCGCGATTGGCTGTCCGCGAGGGGTTTCAGCACTGGACAGCTCCCAGCGGGCGGGCCGGCGGTGGCGGCCCCGGCCGGGCTCCGGCTCCCGCTCGGGTTGGTTCAGCGGCGGCGGCGGCGGCAGCGCGCAGACAGGCAATTGCTGGAGCTGTGCTCAGCACTCCGGCTGCCGGCTTTATATGGGACGCAGGCTGGAGGAGATCAGGTGGTCCCCCAGCAATGGAACTGTTCAGCGCTCTAATCCATCAAATGTCCCCCAGGACAATCGCTCCGCACACGTTCCCCTGAACCAGCGGCGGTGGGGGCAGCCCAGGAGCACGGAGCGGAGAGCGGGCAGGAGGGAGAAAGTGAGGGCGAGAGAGGCGCAGAGATAGAGAGACGGAGAAAGGGAGCGTGTGCGTGCGTGTGTGCGTGTGTGTGTGTGTGTGTGTGTGTGTGTGTGTGTGAGAGAGAGAGAGAGAGAGAGAGAGAGAGAGAGAGAGAGAGGCAGAGAAAGGAGAGACACACGGTGAAGAAGGTGGGAATAGAAGCAGAGAGACCAAGATAAGGACAAAAAGACACAAACATGACACAGGGAAGAAAGACAGAAGAGAAAGTAGCAGCACACGCTCCTGCACCCGCGGGAGGAAAAGAGAGATCCGGACACACAAAAAGAAAGCCCTTGGAGATGTGGAGAGAGGCGGAAAAACTGCAAAACAGAGATGGAGGGGAGCAAAGAGGGAGAGAGAGAGAGAGTGAGGGAGCAGTTCGGAGCCGGTGGGGTTCGGGCGCATGGGGACGCAGGGAAGGGGGTGCAGAGAAGAGGGAGCCGGCCAGGGACCACCCTCCTGCCTCCCCACAGTCCTCACCCTTTGCTCAGTTCTGAAGTGGTTAATGTGGGCACCAGTTTTAACTAGAGGAAGCCCCTCCACCACCCCTGGCCTGGGCTCCCGCTGGAGCCCCCTATTGCATTTGGGGTTCAACTTTCTTCTCCTAGAACTGACGGGGGGAGCAAGTCCCCCATGCCGGTGCTGGCCTCTCTCAGCCAGTTATGTTCCGGTGCCTATCTCAGGCGAGCACCGCAAGAGGAAGTGAAAATCGCCCAGTAATTAATTTCCCTGCTGCTGAGGGGGGGGGTGGTTTTGACACATCTGAGGCTGTGTCTTTCCCTGAAGCGGGGAGCAGACAATAGAGACACGTGGACTGGGAAGAGAGAGGGGGGAAGGGAGGGGGAGCGGGGCTCCTGCTGGAACTCTTTGCAGGTCAGCTCCTTTGTCTCTGGAAGGATCTAAGCAGCCCCCCAAGTCTTGTCCAAACCTAGGAGACCCCCCCCTCCATGTCTTGGCAGGACTAAGGAGCAGGAGAACCCAGCCTTACATCCAGGGGCTGGTGGGCACAGCCCCAGGGTGATGGGTCACCTCCACAAGTGTGGGGTGGCTAGTACATCAGAGTCCCAGAGCTGGACTCCAGGGACACCAGGCTGTCCCTGGTCCATGGCATTCTGAGGATGGATGTAAAGCTGATGGAGCAGAGATGTCCTTTAGGTACTAGGTCATTCAATACCAGTTGGGCATGGAGGTGCCTGTAGTCACAGAATGAGAAGCGGCAATTTCTAGAGACCTCAGTGTCCTCTGGGTACCATTAGGTCAGGGGCGAGCCTAGTCTTTGATGAGTGGCTTAGGAAATCTAAGATTAAAATTTGGGATCCTAATGTTGATCTCCCATGATCTGAGAGTCCTTGCCAATCTTCACGGTTTTAAAACCTCAGCCTCTGAAGTTGAAATTAAAGTTAGTTCTTGCCCCAGGGCACACCTCTGTGTTCCCTGCTCCAGCCACAGGAGCCTACCTCTAGTTCTTCAGGCTTCCTTTTCCTCTGTGCAGCAATCTTCCCTTTACTTCACCCTGCTAGCCCCTTCTTGTCCCTAGCATGTAGCTGAGGCACTTCCTCCAGGAGGTCCCTGACTTCCTTCATTGTATACCAAGCTGCCTGTAGTCTGTAAGCCACGTGAGGACAGGGACTCTGTCCTGTGTACAGCTTATCACACTCTTGACAGCATTCTCCCAAGTCTCCCAGTTCTCTTCCCTACCAGCTGTGAGACCCTGGGCAAGTTACTCAACTGGGAAAACTGTGCCTCAGTTTTCCCATTTATAAAATGGGAACAATACCTGTGGTTACTTTGAGTGTTCTTGAGAGCATTACAAGAGTTGTTACTCATCAAGGACTTGGAATGGTGACGGGCATATAATAGGTGCTCACTACACTTTGATTCTATATGAACAATTGTGGATAGCATCTACCATTCATTTATCATGTGTTCATGGAGTGCCATGGAGTAACATCCCTGGTCTCTGCTGTCTTGGAGCTGAATTCCAGGGAAGGGTGGGTGGACACTAAACATGGAAACTGTCATGTCAACACTGTCCTTTCAGAGTTTTTGGGTGCTATCAGAACAGGAAACTGGATGAAACCATGGAGGGCGTTGGTGCCTTTAGATAGGCTGCTCAGCAGAGGTCTTCTGGAAGAGGGTGATATTCCTGCTAAGCCTTGAACTAGTCATGGAGGAGCCAAAGAAATAGGGCTCCAGGCAGAGGCTCCCCACGTTCAGAAATCTCTGAGGCAGGAATAACCTTAGGCTGGAAGAATGAGCTTAAGGATAGCAAGAACTAGAAGGGGATGAGATCAAGATACGACAAGTCTAAACCTAGAGTGCTCAACAAGTCGTTGATGCTCTGTTGTGATGTAAAGACAGAGCTTGAGCTGGGATCGGCCACATTACATGTTTTTCCTGGGCAAGACATAGAGGCGACCCACTCCTTCCCTGGGAGAGAAGGCCCTACAGAACTTCACACCTAAAGGTCTGCAGTGCAGTAGTGCCACCCTGAGAATGAGGTCCTGTACTGCTGTCCTCCACATGCAAGGTGGCGTGTGTACAAAGCCAGATATCCCAGAAGCTGAGGTTCCAAAGTGCCTTTGTAGGGGAGGAGGCCTTAAGCATGGATGAGATACACAAAAGCCAGCAGAATTTCATCACTAGAACACCAAGAAGAGCCACTGCCCCCAGAACCCGCCCCAACACTAGCTTAATGGGTTCAGGAAGACAACTGCTAGGAATTTATTTCTCCAAGTCACATCAGTTAAGGACAGAACTTTATTACCAAGGATGTTTGCTGCAGCATCCAAGGTTGGAATAAAAGTTCCAAGCTGGATAAAGTGGGAAAGGAAAGAAAACATTTACCTGATAGAATATTCTACAGTCATTAAAGATTTATATACAGGGAATAACTCATAGAATTATGTTAAGTGAAGGATGCAGAATCCAGAAATCTCTCGCAGCATGTTCAAAACGATGAACCAAAATAAAATAAATACATATGGAAAAGTGAGAGGCGGCTGGTGGGACTATGAGGGAGTTTTTCTCCTTTTTGTATTTTCCAAAAAGACCATAAAATACTTCAACAAACATTTATCTTGAACACCTGCTAACTATCTATTTACTTCCAAACAAAAGAAATGGTGAAGTTTAGTAAAACATGTCAGAACAGTCCTCTGATTTGGAGATGATATAATCACCAATGGCAGGTTTTCCCATGGCAGTTATTACACCAACAGAGACAAGGCCGAGGAGCTCCCTGGGCTGGGCACTGGGCTACTTAAGCACTTAGGAGAAGCAGGCTTTGCCTGGGGCTTCAGGTCTGGGGATTTGGGGTCAGTTTATTTTCAGTTCAAATTCCTGCCCTGCCATCTCCCAGCTGTGTCTTTTGCCTTTTGTCCCCATCTGTAAAATGGGAGTATAAATAGAGCCTACCTCAGATTGATGGTTAGATGATAACGGTCCTGGAAAGTGCTTGTTATTTACTTATCTTGGCTCCTGTAAGCCACCTGTGGCTTAGGGAGGAAGATTCTGCTATTGGCCTGCTCTACAGGTGAGGGTGTGTGACTGGCTAAGGCCTCAAGGTTACTTGTCTGCACTGCCCATCAGACAGGAGGTGACTATCAGAGTCTGGGAATCTCACGCTGTGTGACCTGAGCTGGCTGGCAGAGCCACCCCAAGTCTTCCCCTGGCATCTGTAAAGGGCTGTGGGGTTTGTGGGAGCTTGAGTGCTTCACTCAGCGTCTCAGCGGGGAGCACAGCCCTGGGAGTCAGGAGCCCATCCCCGCCTTGCCTTTGCTCTCTTCTGGGCCCCAGCTTTCTTGTCTGTCAAATGGGGATGGGATGAGATGGTCCCTGAGCTGCTGTCCAGATCCGATAATGGAATTCTGTATGAATTCCAAGGAGGAGAACAGCCGCAAATGCATCTCTGTGCAGCCGGGGCTTTCTCCTGTAAACTCCACTCACCCTACCCAGGTGCTGAGTGTGTTTATCTAGACCTCCTCCTCTGGGCCAAAGGGAAGAGGCGAGGGGAGGCTGAAGCTGGAAAACTTCACAGCTCTGCTCTCCCTGGCTCCAGCTCACCAAAGACGCGTGGTGGGGCCTCAGAAATTTGATACACACTATGTTGTTTCTTTCACTTATGGTTCTGGGAAGCAGATGTGACAATGGAGGTAGGAATGCAAGAGCCCTACTGGAGGACAACTTCCCTTCTGGGTTGGAGGGGCGACCTGGGCAGGGAGAGGTAGAGGAGAGAGACCCAGGCCTGTTGCAGCTCTGAGGAAGATTCGGCTATCCTGATGGGCTCCGAGGCAAAGATTCCAGTGGAGGAGGCCCACATGGGGCCAGCCCCAGGCCGGGTTCCAGCTGTAGTCAGCAGCCCGGTGTCCTGGAAATGGCCTAGGCGCCAGGTTGGAGGAGCTCTGAGACTGCAGCCCAGAGGAGACCCAGGCAGTACCTTGCTGTAGCTGCTTGTGTTTTTCTTTATTCATTTAATCAAGCGGGAGTGCTGGGCCCTGTGCCAGGTACGGATCTTTGCACTTTACAGATATCACGGTAGTGAGCCCTCACATTTGCCTTGGGAGGCAGACAGAATTGCCAGTCCCATTCTACAGGGGGAAAAACTGAGTGTAGAGAGTGGCTTGTCTTAGGTTTCACAGCTAGTCATGGTGAGCCATGAGGCCACCTGGGGGCTCTGAGAGACTGTGCCCTCCCCTCCCTGCCGTGCCACCTCCTCTAGGTCATGGCTCAGGTCACGAAGGCCCTGGCATGGAATTCTGGGGATTTTTCCATTTTCATTTTTGTTGGCTCAGAGCCTCAGACCTGCCACAGACTTCAGGAAGGCACGGACTGGAGTGGTGGGAACATGGCAGGGATCTCAGAGCCTCCTGCCTTGGGCTTGGCATACGCTGTCCCTACTGCCCGGAGCTCACATCTCTTTTCTCCTTGCCTCATTAGCCCTTCCTTCCATGACTCTCCTGCCTGATCCCAGGGTCCAGCCAGGACAGAGGTGACATATTCAAGAAAGAGCATGTGTCACAATCCCAGAGGACCACGATGCTGATATTGTTGAGCGTGTATTATGTGCCAGGAGCCAAGTCCAGCCCTTTAAGCACATTATCTCACATTATTGTCATAACAGTCAAGGTCTTTTGTTCTCCTTCTTTTACAGATGAGGAAACCAGGGCTCAGAGATGCAAAGTGATTTACCCAAGAAACCCAGAGAGCATCCAGTGATGTTGGGATTCTCATCAGGCTATCTGGGT